CAAGAGTATAAAAGCAAGAGTCAGCAGCACCAGGAATCAGCATGTTGTCGGTCGTCTGATGGTCAATTTCCTACTGCCCTTTCGCCCATTTATTCTGCACAGAATATACTCTTCCTACAACTCTGGCCTTGTCATTACCTCTCTCTCTTCACCCAAGAGACCGAGCTTGAATGATTGCAGCCGTTAGGGTGAACCTTCGAGGCCTAACCCCCTCTCGATAAATGCGTGCGGTGGTGGACCGATAATAGCCCTTAATCATGGCAATGAGTTCGGTTGGTGCTCCATCCAGTTCCATTATTCGCCACAAGGCCTCACAATGGATCGAATCGAATGCGGCGACGAAGTCGACAAGCCAGACGGCCATTGTTTGCTGGTAGCTATAGCGCAATTCTAGAATACGCCTCAGCGTAAATATCTTTTCCGCACATCCACGGCCAGCGCGGAATTCGGCTTGGTTGGACCGCGTCCCGGAGTCACTTACAGACAGTAACCGCCTGAGAAGAGCAATAGCGAAGATCTTTGCAGCAACGTCGATAAGCCTTATGGCGCGGTAGTTCTCGCATCCTGTCTATCTCCTTGACGATAAAGGTCACATTACTAAGTAACTACTGCCCAAGTTAGCCAAAAGTGCATTAAAAGAATACACACAAACCTATATCCCTCAGCTAGATACTGAAAATGTAAGGGACATGTATTGACGCGGGTTTGGCAATTGACCGTAGAAAATGCGCCATGTAGCCCCACTATGGTATGGACTCTAGAACTCTGTAAACAGACCCTGTCGTTAAACGAAAAAATGCAAGCAGTTTCTTCAGTTGTATTAACCGAGGCACACAGAGCACAGTCACGAAGCGCTTTTCTGCCTCATTGGGCGTCATAAGGTGGTGGTAGCTCAACTCCAGCGTAGCAACGGAAATTTCCGACACACTCGAGCTTCGAACTCGCGTCTCTCCGGCCAGAGGCGAACGCTCTAACCCTTGAGCCACAGGTCCACCGTGTTGTCGGCACTATATAGTAGTGGGTAATTGTACACTGATTTGTTTCGGGATGTATCCATCCTGGTTGATGTTTTGTTTGCGAGCTAACCAGAACCCCAATTTTGTATGTTTCTTCAGTCTTTTGAAGTCTGCAATATAGTTGGTTGACCAGGAATAGCCCCTCTGAACAGACAAAACGCAAAGCTAGCCAGCCAAACCTAACAAAGTTTTAAGACAATCAGCAGGATCTCGAAAATTGTTTAATGTATTTTAACAAACGTCGCAGGAGTATAAAAGCAGGAAGTATAAACAGGGTGAGCAGCACCTAGAAGCAGCATGTCAATAGACAAACATTGAAGGGGTACATCAAAAGACTACAAAATATCTCACAACTCAACTTTCTCAAAATCGAAGTGTGGTTCACCACCTGCAGATCCACGATCTAGGTGAGTGATCTCATAGGTCTCACGTGCGGTCTGCTTTGGCAGGGGACCTGCAGGGGCTGACGCACAGTTATCTCTGGGCACGGCCTCAATTTCCACAACAAATTTGTAGAGGATTCCGTTGACGACCTGTCGCGTGCCTCGCAGCGTCCGGATATGCTTGTATTCTGTACAGGAATCCTCCCTCTCCTTAGCTAGATGTTGCAGGGCATTTTTGATTATTGTTTTCGCATGCTGACTGTTCAAGGCATCCTTGGTCAGCTGCTGAACGGCTCCGAACATTTGGGCACCCTTGGCTGTGAGCATTTCGTCGTTATGGGCATTGGACAAACTGGTTACCAAAGTTAGCCAAAGGATCGCGGCCGTCATTACCGCACTGGCCATGTCGAGGTTAAGCGTGAAAGAACAAAGACAGCCCACTGGCTTTAACACTGGCATAGCTGACATTCGCTGTGGACCAATGGGAAGTGTCGTGATTTTGATTAGTCGACAGATTAGCCAGTCCGCCAATCGCTTTGATGCGTTTTCAATGCACAAAATGCGTCTGTGGATTGTCCGATCACATGCTACCAGGGCGCGATAATTGGTGGCTGTAGCAGATACTGCCCTCGTTCTGAGATTGCGTATGGACGCTTCTTATTAGGGTACCTCAGTAAACCCTTGGGAATACAAAATTCGAGGCCCTACACCTGAAAATAAGGTTGGTTTGCTAAAACAAGGAAAGTTCAAGATGGCATTTACAGGATGGTGGAAATAGATTATTGGCGCTCAGTTATTTTTCTAAACGCAATCATACTGATCAGGACAGAACAGTGATCATAAGCGGTCAAACTACGGGACAGGACTCCCCACGGGCTAATCACAATTGTTCATAAAACCAGCTTCTGAAATTGGTTTCGCCTCTCTGACCATTTTAAGGATAATTTGATATGCAGAAAATGGCTACCCTACAATCCATACACATGTTTCCTTTAATGCTATCGTTTTGTTGAGTTACCACGATGGAACGGGTTTGGCTCAGCGCTATCTAGATTATGCAAGCAACCACTCGATGGATCATTTGCCCAGGCGTCTGGTTGGAGCCCCTGCTAAGGGCCTAATCTGCGTACGATATCATTCTGCTTAAGTTTGGTATCGTAGGAGGAGTGGATTGACAGTCACAAAGGTCAAGTTAAGTGCACTTAACTGAATTGGGTACACTTGACTGCAGTCCAGTGCATGGGACCTTCACTTCACATTCATATGATAAATTCCTACGAATAGGTAAACTACTAGGCAGATAGTATTCCCGAGTGAACGACCATGGCCATGACTTTGGTCTTCGAGGAGCAATCAGCATAGGCCGAGGAAACTCAAAAGCCGAAGGGCTGATGTTAGAGGCATGGTACTCAGATGCCAACTCCGTCAACAAGCATGTAGACCTCTCTGCGGCCTACAAAGTCTTGCACCATTATGAGAGCGAAGGACGAAACAAGATCAAACCAAACGAGGGGATTGCAAACGAAGAGGATCCCACGACGAAACGGCCAGAAGAGGAGGCAGGGTTACCAGGACCCTCTACCGGATGACAAGGCGCCACACTAATTGCTGTTCATGACTCCCCGCTCCACTGAGAGCTAATTAGTGTACACCACTATAATTGCCCCCCCGATTCCACTGATAGTTAATTGCCTTCCTCCCCCATGCCTTATGATAGCTGCTTCTAACCTCTTGAAAACCTGATTATTTCTGACAGTTGATGGCCACTATAATTACCCTCTTTTTGGTTGCTACTTCTCACCTCTGAAGGTGGACTCCTGTAAGAGTTCGAGAGCTCAGGAAAATAAATCCATTGATCTGGTGCTCGACACGTCTTCTTCCTTATCGGTGACGAATGTTCACGGATGGCGCTAACGGAACTCACTCCTCCCGCCCCGCTTTGGGTCTCAGTTCTCGGGCCCTGACAGCAGCCCTAGGCTAGAATAATAGCCACTACGGCTGCTGCCAGGCCCCGAGAAATGAGACTCGAGGCCCAAGGCAGGGCGGGACAAGTGAGTTCCGTTAGCGATGGAGGAAGAAGAAAACAACCAGCTGGCCTTCCTGGATGTCCTCGTTCGCCGCAAAGACAATGGTGGCCTTAAAACTAAAGTGTTCAGGAAAGCAACCAA